AATTCGCATGGGTTTGAGATTGAACAAAAGCAAATGGTTCAGAGAAGCGGCTGATGAAAAAAGGGCAGGATTGTGAGTGATTCCTTTGCCGTAAAAGATAACTGTGGTGTGGGCAATGAGGAGATATGTAAGAGAATTGATGATGGTGGTGCTGGTGGTGGTGAGGAGGAGGAGGGAGGTGGCGGCGGTGAGGAGGAGGAGGAGGGAGGTGGCGGCGGTGAGAAGGAGGAGGGGGGTGGTGATGGTAATGGTGGTGGTGCTTCTTTTCTAAGTCCACAGAGTCCATTGGCCGGGAATGAATTCTCCGAGGGAATGATTGACAGCCCTGAAGTAATTTTTAGAAGGTAAATGACTTTCTAATTAAATAAAATTGTAAAGCCCTGTTTGGTGGCCTTTAAACTTAAAACTATTTTTTGAATAATATTTTTTTTTGAGAATATGTGGTTAAAAAGTAGGAAATTTTTTTAGATTTACATGTTAAATATTTTTATTTATGAATGTATGGTTATAAATGAGTAGAAGAAATAAATTAAAGGCCACCAAACAAATGCAAATAATAAAAGTTATTTTCAAAATTGTATCTTATTAAATAAATAAATTTGAACGAACTTAAGAGCACGTCAAACAAGTCTTAATTTTGGATTTTTCCACAACGAATCAATTGATTTCAAGTAAAATACAAGGGCTATCACCTTTAGACCTAGTTTTCAGACAACTAATTATAAATGAGTTAATTAAATCATTGCTCATCACCATAAGGTTACTACTTTCTTAACCAAAAAAAGTTACGTATTGTACATTCATCTATTCACACGTTTTTTCTTTCAACACCGAAGTAAATTTCGTCATTTTAACTGGACGCGAAGTGTCATGAATCGGATAGAATTCTAACGTAGCACACTAACATTGTTAATTGAAGACATGTGGGCTAAAATCGCATTTTTTTTTTCCGTGGAAATTACACAAAATCCTACCTTATAAATTCAACATTCTAAAATCAGATTGGAACTTTCATAATTCAAAAATCAAATTTTTTTATATTAATTATTTAAACAAACTAATAAATTAGGAAAATCAAAACCCTATTCCATACCCAACCCGTAATTCTCCTCCCTCTCCCTCCCTTCTCCGTTTTATCTCCGACGATACCGTACAACCATTGTGAGTGGCAAAGCATAAACATTCGCCAATCTCCAACACTTGCAAACGCAGAGAAGCACGCCAAGTTCGCTATTAAGATTGGAAGATTTTGCACTTCGATCTCCCTTTCCACCTTGCACCAAGCCACCACATGCAGCACCACTGTCAATCTCCCGGCTCTTTCTTTGATGTGATCATTGAGCGTGGCAACGAGGCGACGCTCATTGCTGTAGATCGTGGGGGCTTGCCGATTGGATTTGAGATTTTGTCGATTGGTTTTTGTTGGTTTTGGGGTGGTTGGTGGTAGTGGATTTTGTTTTCTTGAATCTTGTTGGTGGCAATGGTGGCGGTGATCTTATATGGTGGTGGTCACAGATTAATTGATGGTTTTGGTGGTTTGGTGGTGGTGGTACGGTAGTGGATCTGATTTTTCTTGAATCTTGTTGGTGGCGGTGGTTTGTTGGTGGTCGTGGTCGTGGTCACATATTAATTGATTGATTGTGGCCATTAAATTGGTTAATCTGTGATCAATAAACAATTCATGACCAATAAAAAAGATAAATTGCGATCAATTAATAATGTATAACCTAAAAAATTAATAACTGGGGTGGTTGGTGGTAGTGGATTTTGTTTTCTTGAATCTTGTTGGTGGCAATGGTGGCGGTGATCTTATATGGTGGTGGTCACGGATTAATTGATGGTTTTGGTGGTTTGGTGGTGGTGGTACGGTAGTGGATCTGATTTTTCTTGAATCTTGTTGGTGGCGGTGGTTTGTTGGTGGTCGTGGTCACATATTAATTGATTGATTGTGACCATTAAATTGGTTAATCTGTGATCAATAAACAATTCATGACCAATAAAAAAGATAAATTGCGATCAATTAATAATGTATAACCTAAAAAATTAATAATTTGTGACCTTTTAATAAGTTGTGATCTATAATATTTGTGATCTGTGATCTATAAATAAATTGTGACCTGTGACTGATGAATAAATTGTTACCTACAAAATTTATAAATTATGACCGTTAAAATAATTTGTGACGTTAAAAAAATTATGATTTGTGATCGAAAAATAACTCATGACTAATTAAATTGTAAATTTGTGATCAAATTGTATATATTCATGACTCTAATATATTTATTAATAAAACTATAAATAAATTTTAATGAATATTTGATTTTTGAAATTTGAAACTTTTATTCTTACTTTTCCCCTTATGTGGCTTTGCTTAAAAGATCTTACACAGATTTTTCCTTCTTTTACCCTACAATATTACCCTCTGAAAAAAGACGTCAGAAGTTGCTTCTTTCAGTTTTAAGCAAAGCCAAACATGAGCGAGCGCTTCATTTCCTCCAGCCTTCCCCCACAAAAAAACAAAAAATAACAAAAAACGCGAGAACTAAAAACTGCAAAATCTGTACCTACCGTAACAATTAATAGTCAATCTACGCAGTAAAACTGCCTTTTTCTGTTCCCACTATACATCATATATTTAATGCGGGTAAAATTTCTTGTATTACTCATCAAAATTGTAATGTGGTACAAAACACCACCTAAACATCCTTGCATTCCATAAAGAATCCTCTGCAGCTAAAATCCCCATAATTGGTTGGTATCGACATCATCTGTACGTTTATAGTTCAAGTCATTTCAACATCTGTTCCTCTTGATGATGCCCTTTTAGAAGAAAAAAATATCACCAACGTCGAGAAACAAAAGACTTATTCACGACCAAGAACTTGCAAAAACATACCGAATGATATGGGAAGTTGAAATTTATCATCTTTGTCATCCCTCGGTGAGAAATGTTTTTGTTCGGCTTGGTCTACTTGTCTCTGCCAAAGAAACTGTTCTTGACAGCAGCAACAATCAGAAATCCGTCTAGATTCAACCAGACTTAGGTACATAAATCCATTACCCAAAGACCTGTCCAGAAAACATTGCCAGAGAAAGACGGGCAAAGAGGCTCTGAGTGAACAGGTGTAACAGAAAAGCCAATATTTTGGATTCCAACTTAGTAAGGAATGACATACGGCAGAGCAATAACATCGGCAGATTTGACTGGTATTGCTTCCGCCCATACCTCCTCTGTCCGCTCAATTTGATTGGAAGCAATTTTTGGCCTCTTTGCCCTAGAACCCTCGCTCCCAAAAAGCCACTCCTGATCATCAAACTCGGGCCATTCTACATTAGGTACATTGAGTATCTGGGTCAAATATTTGGAATCGGGATGGGGCAGTTTCACTCTATTCTCCTTTAATTTCACAGAAGCAGATGGAGTGCTTGAAGAAACACATATGCCATTCACCTGCGAATCTTTGTTACTGTGTATCTGACTCAAATTTTTGGAATCGGAATGGGGAGGTTTCATGCTACTCTCCTTACCTTTCACAGAAGCATATGGAGTGCTTGAAGAAGCGTATGGTTTAGGGTCTATTATGCCATTCACCCGGGAATCTTTGTTATCCATCTTATGCTTGATAACTACTCCCCGAGACTCTACCGCCCTGTGGGTGTTTGGTTGGTTGGTTTCCATTCTTCGTCCACTTTCTGCACTTACAAGTGAGGTTGAAACCTTGTCATCAGCCTTGTGGTTATTCACCAGCATTGGTTGCAACGTTTCTACCTTACTTGCAGTTTCAAAAGGTTCAGTCTTTTGGCTAATTCCCAAAACAGGGTGAGAGGAGACGAGGCTGTTATTGACCACATAAGTACTAGTGGATGACCACTGCTCGGCAAATAAATGATTTGCAGTTTGGCCATGTTCGAGCTTCCTTCCATTTCCAACTGATTGAGAGGGCAAGTTCTTAAAATTGACTGTATGATTTTGGAATCCACCCGCTTTCTCCACAGCCAAGTTAACAGTATTCTGAGAAGAATTTATGCCAATTACATTTTGCACAACTTGATGGGAGGAAGAGACAGGCCTGGGCAGTTTAAGTGGGATTCCGCTGCCTGTAGCCCAAAAAAAAAGTCACATAATAGCTGATTAGATTATAATCATCTAGAACCACCAAAAACTCCATCCCTAAGAATACCCTAAAAATGGGCGAATTAAGAAATAAGTGGGAGATAATATGGTCAATGAACTTTTTCATGTTAGTCACTAAACTTTGTTCTGTTCCAAATTGGTCAATGTCGGTTACTTTGTCCATATCCACTACTTTGACTAACAGACAATGCAACAGGACAACCTAGACTGCCACTTCAGCTTTTCAGTTAGTCAAATTAGAACATGGAAGGAAATAGGAATGACCAAATTTGTCATACCAAATTGTAAGAAAGTTTACTAATGACCAACTTGAAACAAAATTTAATTACAAACTTGAAACAAAATGAAGTTCAGTTAACATCATAAAATTTTGTAAAAGTTAGTGACAGCCAGTGTTTTTAACCTGTAACTAAGACACGATGCTTCTCTTACCATACATCATTGAAAATACAAAACAAAGTGATGATATTGGAAAGAACTCACCGCATGAAAATCCATTCAATTCAGGCTCCTTTTGTTTTCCAAGACTTCCCTGACTGCCATGCCTCACCTTCAATAGATCTGATGGCTTGTTATGAACATCTAGCAGATCACCATTGCTTTCTCTTTGTTTATTCGTCAGATCTTTACTTCTCTCCTTCACCTTCTCCTTCTCCCCCACTTTGTCCTTCGATTTACATTTTGTATCTCGTTCTCTCTTCTTGTGCCGATCTCTTTTACCATCACTAGTCTTGTGCTTATTCTTATCTTTTCCTTCTTTACATTTCTCAACCTTCTCCACCGAGAGAGCACCTCCCTCGATCTTTTTTCCATTTTCTCTGGCAAAAATTGAAATTTTACCATTTTCCAAACCCATAGCATTAATTTCGAGACTTTCTCCATTAACCATCCTTGCATACTCTCTCTTATCACTCTCTTCCACCTTCCCTGGTAACTTGGCACTTCTCTGATCTGAGTGCATGATTTCCCCAACCATTTGACTGTCTGTAGCTCCACAGTCATTCTCAACTCTTCTTTGCAATTCAACAAAAATGTTCGAATTTGGAATTGCATTACCCAATTCACTAAATGAACCAAGCTTCTTTCCATTTTGATGCTCCGACAACCCTACAATTTTCTTCTCTTCTGAAGTCCTATGTTTATCTTTATGTTTCTTCTTATCCTTTCTGTCTTCGTGCTTCTTTTGCTCTCGGTCTTTCTTTTCTCCTTGTTTATCTACACTCCTCTCCTTTTCCTTTCTCTCACTTCTTTCTTTCTTGTCTTTATCCTTCTTATGCCTTTTCTCTTTGTGCTTCTCCTGAAATAGTCAAAATGACCAAAAAGAAACTCCAGAATGTATTATGTTTGGAAGCAGCTCAATAATAAAAGTTAACATTACTTCAAATTACAAGTCAAGACAGACAGCCCAAATAAGAACCTGTATTGAATATTGGCAACAAATAATAGAATCCTGAGACAGTGAAAAGATCAAGCTAGCTGTCCAATTATTTCTTCTCCTTCATGGCATGTTTGGTAAGGTGGACTAGAGAAAAGTTAATATGTTGCTTATTGTATCGTCTAGTATGATAAATAGTACTTACCAAACACGCACTCAAAACATAAGTAGGGAAAATCTGGGAGCACAGACACAAAAATGAAATCAGCACAACTAGAAACTTGGAGAACCCAGACAAAACAGCAATAAGGGAACTTAAATGCCTCGTTATTTACCTTACAGCAATAATTATTGGCTAAAACAAAACAGTAATTTGAAAACAGTGTTGCCGAAATTAGGGGCAAGCCCATTGTTATTGACCAAAGAAATCTTTACAGATTAAGTGCTCGAGATTTCAAGAAGCATTACTTCATGATGTTTATGAGAAATGACTCCATTTTATTTTGTCATAACTGATAAACAAAATTTCCTAAATTCATATTGAGATTGTGGGTCTGTTTGGCATGGATTTTGAAAAGCCAAAAACTACTTCTGAGACGAAGGATAGGATAATTTTCTGAAAATGAATCCTCCTATTAGAAGAGCTATTAGCGGAAGTTTGTCTAAGGTGGCTTCATCAATAAGCTCTTCTGCCAAAAAAAGGAAGAAGCAGCAGAAGCTGAACCCAAACGTGTCCTATATCCAAGAAACTGCAGTGTTACTTAAGGGCATATCTTTAATATACCATAGACACTTTTAGGAAGGAATTTGCAATCTATTGTCTTATCTAAATGGGCATTGAAGCCATCAAGTAATATCTTGTCTACATCCATTCAAATTATCAAGCTTCTCATCTCGTTGCCAAGCAATACGAACATAAATAACTAACCATTCACATATTGCTTATGTTGACAGCCTATTGCCCCCAACTACGAGAATCCACAACGTCATTAAAGTTAAAAATTACGTATAATCAATTAGTATGTCATGAAAATATGGCAACCACTAAATGACACTAATTCTAAAGTTTCTACAATAAATGCAAACAGAAATAATCAATACACATGAAAAAGTGAATAGTCAAACTGTAATTTCTCAGGATATAAATTTGTTTGACATAATGAAACTTTAAAGTGATTGTATTGCTTACGAGGCTCAATATTTATCCAAGCATTCTATTATGATGTTAAGCATATTCAACATGATAAGCTTTTATATCATACATTAAAAGCACGCCCATTAAAATGCAAACAAAACAAATACAAAACAGTAGTTATAACATAAATACCATAGCCCTAAGCTTCAATTAACATGAAAAGCTAATACAAATTGCACACAACATGAATAATTCGATGTTGACCTCTCACTATCCACAAATATCCCAGTAGAGTGAAATTAAGATACATGCCAAATAAACCTAGGAATTGAAATCTCCATTATATGCAATCCTCCACTCAAATATAAATAGAAATTATATACACATTTTCCATAAGAAATGCAAGAATGACAAAGGCAATTAGTAACACAACAACTTCATCGGTGTCCTGAGCAACTCTCATCCATGAGGTCATTTAATACTGTAAGATAAGGAGTGTAAAACCTGTATTATCACACATTAATCATTCCCCAAAATGAAAGGAGAGAACTAAATTACCCCCAATTTTAAAATTAAAGTAAATAGATATAATGCACGTACATATGCCAAAATCTTGATCAAACTCATGATGGTCGAACCATATTAACTTTGTTCAAAAACTGATGACTAGAAACAGCTGTCTTGGTATAGTTAGCTGACAGATACTTCTATACCTCTACTCTATGATGCTCGGACTCGGATACGAGTATCGGATATGGGTAAGTATCTAAGTGTCGGATCTTTTATTTTTTAAAATGTAGGATACGAGGATATGGCTAAAAAAATTCCAAATTTCAAGCACGGGTATTTGGGTATGTCTTTCAAGCTTTAATTTTTTTCTTAACCCAAGATGTCATTTTGAATAAACCAAAATAAATTGTTCACAAAAAAGGAAATGAGTATTAAATAAGGAGTTAAGACGAATGAAATACAATTTTGGAATTTAATTTTCAATTTTGGGAAGTTGATTACTAAATGTTATATAAAATAGAAAATGAAGATAGAACTCATTTCATTTATACAAACAAAATCCTAAACCATCGATACAGAGAGGGAAAGAAGGAAAAAAAAGAAGAAAAGGAAGAAGAAGGAAAACCTAGTGTTGTCGCCCTTCTCTACCCTTTCGGAGGTGACGCTAGGTTTGTGAAAAGCAAAAAGGGGAAAGACGGCGAAGTATCCGATTAAAACTTTGAGGATCCAACACATATCCCATACCCATACCTATGTCATATCATGTCCGATACGGATACTCCTACTATTTCGAAGAGTTCAAGTATCAGGGCCTCTACTTATGTTCAATGGACCACTTTCACTGTTATAACCATCTCATACAGGGCCGGCATCTTGTTTAAGAAATCCCTAATATCTATATATATGGCAATTATATACAGTAACTTGAACGAAAAACTGCTACATGACTTAATAATACGAGATAACTACCTAACCAGCAATGGCATCTGAAGCACTATGTAACCCTATATATCAAAAGGCCATTTAGGAACAAATGCATACCATTCATAACAACTAGCTATCAAAATATCAATTTAAAAAGATAAGCTTTTTTAAATTAACTGACTGAGTATTTAATGTGGCAAGCAAGAATATTATTTAACTACATTAAGGCTGGACAAGGTCCGGTTTGGTTATAAAGAAAATCGAATCAAACCGAACAAGAATTTTCGGGTATTTAGAAATTGAAACCATCAGGGTCTAAATTGGATAATAGAACTGGTTTAGTTCAGTTCAGTTCCATGCCATAATTAATTTTTTTAACATTTACAATAATACTAAATTAATTTAACTAATGACGTATCCAATCACAGCTCTTATAACAACATTATATTAACACTTACAAAATAACGTAGTTCAATTTAAAAATATATAAATAACAAGTTTTCTAATAAAATCTATTCGCCAGATTACCTTGATCAAAGTGGAGAAAATTCAATGAATAGGATAGAAAAATGGTAATATGAAGAGAGGACAGTCACTCAACTTCAATTATTCGAGAAATGGCAAAATGATTGAGAAAAATTTAAGTCGCTCAATTTTGATTCTTTGAAATTTGAATTACAAAGTTAAGTTTAGGCTAAAATAGAGAAATAATATTTTTGGCTTAATTAATTGGTTGGCAAATGAAATAGAAATTTTTTTAAAAAAATAATTTGGCTTGTTTAATATTAAAAATTAGGGAGATTCGATTCTTCGTTTAGAACTGAGAACCGAACCAAACCAAACTTGTTGATACTTGATTCTAAGAAGAACCACTCGGTTCAAGACCGGTTCGGTTCAAGAGTTTCGTTCAGCCCTAAACTTTGGTAGCCATTAATAGAAAAACTAGTATTGCCTCACCAATAGAATTTCCAGGTTCACGACAAGAAACAAGCAAAAATTAAAGAAATTATTTTCAAGTAAGCTACGGCGTCAGCAGATCATCACGGAGAAGTGCAATGAACTAGAATAGACAGATTGGAAACTGATGAAACAATACATAATGAAAAGTACATCACTGAAATGAAACATATGGCAGGTGAATATTTTGAAGTTTTTACTATTTTATTTTCAAAGTGGAATCTAAAACATAAAAAAATAAATTTTAAATATGTGTGTGTGTGCGTACTTCGTCATAATATAAGTGAACTCCTTTACAACTTATGCAACAGTTTTTTAACAAAGACAGTAATTAAAGACAATCTACAGAGTTCCCTATTTTTCCTGATGAGTAAATTTACAGAGTTTTCTCTTGCTTGCATGAGCATGGAAAATCATCATCATACCTAAATTTACTTTTTCCTAATACATAACTTAATAGTTTTCAATATCGTACGATTAGAATGTACATTCCATTCCTAGTTTCAAGTAAAATGCGATGCAAGGAATTTTATTTGCAAAATATCCTTAACACTATCAAGCTGTCATCAGAAAACGTCCAAGGATGGTGTAATCGATGATCGGACGTAATCGATGATCAGACAACTCTATATTATCACAAAAGTCAAAACGTCATCACACATTCAATACAATGTGATTTAGTAAACTAGGGTTATTCCAGTTTACGCAGCATAAATTAAATGAAACCTATTACTAAACTGAGCCCAAAAATCTCAGCACCCTAACCCCAATATTTCACAAGCTTCCTATTTGTTGTCATCATAGGTTTACCGAACGAATTACAAAACTAGGGAGAACTTCTCAGAAGATTTTTTTATAAAACTTAACCATGACACAACTCTGAATAGAAGTAAAGATGAATAGAAACAGCTGAAAATGGATAAGTTCATGCATAAATTTTTAACCTTTATTAGCAAGTTGACATCATCAGATGTAGCCTTTTTCTCATATCCAGGCGGTGGAAATGGAAAACAGCGAGACATTGCACGCAATAAAAGTTAGGTCAATTCGAGAACTTTCCACCAAAAGTAAATCTTCCCCTAGGATCTGGCCGGAATGTCCCAATTCAGGAACCGACCAGAAAATTTTCACCTGCCCATGCACCATATTCTTGCACTCATTTCCAGCCCCATCGTTAAGCCATCAGTTCCACACCATTAAAGTTTAAAAAATCAGCAAGGGGATTCCTTTAGCTCCACTGTGAATAGAAAATAAAAATGTATATAGCAATATAAATCATAAGTAGCAGCTGTGATGAACAGCAATAACTCCGGGGACAATAATTAATTCGCCTCAATCTGAAAGGTATTGTCAAATGAAGATTGCCCACTGCAATATGATAGTTTGTGAATGATACTGATCAACAAAAGTATCTCATACCTGCCCACCATTCAAAAACAAAATCAGCGTCCTTTGCTAACTATTTTTAAGTATCAAGAACTGAAAATTGACATGTATAACAAACACCATATTCTTCAAAAAGTAAAATGCATAATAACCCTTAATGCTACCATTTCAAATCTTAAATACTTCATCTTATCTGAATCCACTATTCAGACACAATCTTTAAGCAAATTTAACCGAAAGAAGATCTAAATCAGAACTGCGAAATTAAACTTTATCTTTCCAATATTAAGGAATCAATTTTAATCTGTTAATCACTCTGCCCAGAACCTTGAGATTTTAAAAATAACAATAAGGCTATGTTCAGCAGATCAAAGCCCAGAAAAGAAGTAAAACTACTTCGTTAAACAACAATCCAGCAACAGAAAAAGGAAAACATACTTGATTGAATCCATTAAATCCAATAAACAGAATATCTGAAACCTTCTAAAAAACCAATTTCAAATTTTAGCAAAAAAGAAGAGAGCTAAAAAGGAAAAAAAAAAAAAACCCACTTCTCGATGGCGATACATAAAATAAGTAAATTATCATATCAAAATAATAAAAACTTCAAGAAACTGAATTTTCAAAATTCAGTAAGACTAGCTTTGCAAAATAAACATATACATTGCAAAATAGACAGAGGAGATCATCAATAAAGAACCGAAAAAAAGAGAAATAAAAAATAAATCTCTCTTTCTGTACCTCTGTAAATTGTTTATATATACAAATAGCATATATTCGTAAGTAGATTTTTGTGAATGAGAATGTTTTTAGTTTTTCTCCTCGGATCCTGAAAAGATTTTTCAATTCTTGAGATGGGTTGAGGCCGCCTCTCAGGAAAACCCCTCAAAGGGAAGCGAAAATTGTGAACCTGGGAAAGGGGTATATTTATCAAGGAGAAGTGGTGGAGAGAATCGAGAAAGAGAGGAGAGAGAAACATGTTAAATAATTAAAAAAGAAATTTGAAAAAGAAAAAATAAATAAGAGAAGAATCCAGGCATAAGAAATAGAGATTTGGGGTCACCCTTTGTGGTTCCTTGGTAAAAATCTTGTATTTAACGTCAAGTGAACTGTCAAAACTATAACACCTTTTATAAAATCATTTTATGAAATAAAAATATGATTAGATGATTTATGTGGCTATGGATCTATAGAGTATAATTATACTATCTGCATTTCAATGATTTCATGTCGATGATTGATCATTTTTTCTTCCTTATAGTATGTTTTCGGAACGTTTTCTTCAGGACATAAAGAATGTTGGAGCGATCTATTTTCTAGATTTTATAGAGAACAAAAATATGCAAGTCAAAATCTGATTGTGATAAATAGCCACCTTCTACCTAATACGTATTCAAACCTTTTTTTTTTTTTTAAGACAAATTTAGGAGACCACTGATGAAATTTTCTATGACAATAACTGGGGATATAGAGCTTGGTGATTCTGGAATGAAATAAATATCATCGGTGATCATCAATAGACCTTAAAAAAAAAAAAAAAAAAAAAAAAAAAAAAAATCTCATCAATGATAATTCCTAAACCATTATTGGAGCATATGACTGAAATAAATATGTTGGCGATTTGGATAAGAATGTCGGTTCCAAATTCATTTGTGATTAAAGACATACCTTCATCAATATTAGTCAACAACAAAATTATTCGTGATCATCAACACACCAACATCGATGCTAACTAATATCATCAATAATGTTGTCGAATATCATCAACCATGCTCGAGTTACCAACTCGATGGTTAAAATATCATCTCATTCTTTCCCTGTAATATTCATGACTTAAAATTTTTTTTTCACTTATAGGTTTTTCTTTGCGCAGTTTTCAGTCAGTACTAGATTTTTCTATTTCCCTTAATTATTTACTGACAAAATTGTATTCAATAATTAAATTTGTAAAAAAAATTAATAATACAAACCAAAAAAATTGTTCTTTAATTATTATTAATGCTATTAATCATCAATAAAAATGTTAATAAAAATATGTAAACTCTAAATATTGGAGGTTTTCGATAAATCGAGAACCTTAGGTGACGATCTAACTTATTTAGTGCTTGAATGAGCTCTACTTGTTATAGTGAAAGCTTAAAACCACAGGTGGCTCTCATTCAAAGTGAAATATCGTGTTCTTGATTTATTTTTTCTCTTCATTAATTACCATATTGCTATGGGTATATGGAATTATATGTTTAATTCGTAACACGTGGTTATATTTACCTTAACTAGCTTTGTAATCTCTTAAATCTAGACACTTCATTTTCTACCCCAATTATGTAATTTAAATCGATTTCAAAAATGAAAAAATAAATTATTTTACTTACGTCTAACAAAATTTTCTCTCTTTTTTTCTGAAATAACCAGCCCTTCTAATAGGACATTTTGTAGACAAAAATAAAATAAACACTATTAAGCACTAAATAATAATGTCATAATTTTACCAATACTAGTCTTTACCTGTGCAGTGCACGAGTTGGATTATTTTGAATGTAATGTTGGTGTAATAAACATGTTGGATTATAGTGTGTTGCCTTCATGATTTATCTTGATAGGTGAAAAAATAATCATTTATTTCACATGTTATACTCGATTGACACATACACAATCTATCATAGTACATGTTTGATAGATTTTTCTCCCAAAAAAATTCAATCTTTTTACCGTTATTTTACTATTTTTCAATCGTCATTTTTGACTTCTTCTCTCACAGGTAGGACTCACTTTTATCTCTAACAATAAAAAAATCAATTCTCAAAATGACTACCGAACAAGCCCACAATTAGAATTGACAATAAGTTGTTATTTAGTTATTTAGAGATTAAATGTACAAAAATCGAACCATGAGCACTTGATAGAACGTTGAATATCGGAATCATCTGTTTGTAACTTTAGGGTTGGGAATAGAGACGAAAGTGTATACAATCACTTTGACAACTGTTTGCAAACTTACAAGGCCCAAATATGACTTGAAGAATTATCAAGAAACTTTTCTAGCCATAAATTAAATTCTTCAATCAAATCAAGGACGTTCATTGCATCAGACTCTAAACAATCAAGAGGGCCAAACAGTAATATTGAAGAACTTGCCAAAAATTTGTAGTTTCAGTAGATCCCCAGCATTCCAATGTCGCTAAAACATAAGCTCTAGCAACCTTTTCTTCGTTGTCATGTCCCCCTACATGATTTTACACGAAATAATTGGAAGTTAGATCAAATTTAATAAAAAAATAATACTATTATCATTTTCAATGGAAAAATATGCAAATAATGAAAATAATAAAGAAATAAAATGGTATCCAAAGATTCATTGTTTAACAGATAGATATGGTACCATCAAGATCAATTTTGCCTTTCGATTCCTAGAATATGAGCACTTTTACCGATTTAAAAGGAAAAAAAAATAAGATAACTATAAAAAATAGTCAGTTTCCACTTCAATTGAGAGAAAATTATCAGGAAGAAAAAAAAAAGTGATTTATAGAAGATCTTCAAATCTCACCTCTCAATAAATATGGTGTGTCATGATTCTAGGAATTGCAATTTGTAGTAAAATGCTTAACTAAACACGAGACAAGTAGTTTACCAATTGCAGCTAAACATTCTTCTTGGAATAACGTAGTTTGACTCAAATAACAATTAGAGGGGAGTATAGATGTTTATGGGGAATTTTCACTAATTTATTAATAAATGCAACAAGTCATAATTATTAATACGTCCTGATCAATTCACATGCTTTACTATCCTATGTTGAACTTCCGAAAACAAGATAATTGCAGAAATATAAAGAACACAATTATTTGATGATGGAGAAACCCCAGCGTGGGTAAAACTCCCGGCATAAGCCAGTACGAATCCACTATAAACAAAAGTACCACTTAAAATCTGTCAGACTTAACCGACACTAGTTTTTCTGACCTCCTGATTGCAATTTTCCAAACTCTCCTGGAATGCGTGATCCTGCACCTATTCCCGACTCTTGATTTCGTCTATCTCTTGTAGATTTCTGAGAACTCCCCGTTCTCCAATGACCGAAACTCCGATCTATTTCCATGATCTTCAAGTCTCAACAGATGCTCTGGAAGGATTGGTTATGGTGCATGACGAAAGTGGATTTGATGCTTTTATGTCATGTAGAATATATTTTTTTCAAGTTCAATCCTCTAGAGAGCGACTAAAAAATGAAGCATAGGAATTTATATGAGATGTTTTGGTTATATGGGTCAGGTCAAAATTTCAGAAAAGGTAAAAGAGGGTTCTCCAGGTAATACTGTCGCTTGAATGAAAAGCGAGCGATACTATTTCGCTCGAGCGAGGCAGTGGCGAAAATCTAGCGATGAGCTCTCTATTTTTTACGCTCGAGCGATCTTCTGATGAGAAACTAGTGAAACTTTGACAAAATTTCTTACCATTCTTCGAAACTCAAACCCTAGCATAGTTTTGCAAAATTGCAATTTAGTCCCCAAACTTTCAAGCATGTACAAATTGACCCCTAACTTTTAATCATTGACAAATTGACCCCAAACTTTAAACAATTACAATTTGACCCTTTTGTTCACAGAATTGCCAACTCAAAATCTAACACTTCTTGTTTTCTATTTTTTCCCCCTTGCTCAATGGCTTGTCAAATCCAACTTCTGCATATCCATCACTATTTCTCTTCTTTGCTTTGCAAGATACTCTTCAAAGCTGCACCAGTTTAATTTTACCTTCAGAGAAACTTACGATCTGCATTTTTGTCTTGGTGAAGTGAACAAAACTTAAACTTATTTGACAACTTTCCAGATATAGTATATGTGTTTCCCAACATGGCAGCGTTTAGAATTATAGAAAACAATATAATCTATTTCTACCTAAAAGATGTTAAAAATCACAAAATAAATCATCCTTGAGAAAGAACTGTATTGATGTATCAAGCAAGGCATCAATACAGTTTTACGACAGAATGTAACATAGAAAAAATTGGACCAGAAGTAACATTTTAAAAGATCCCAAGTTTAACAAAAAAAGGAATAACAAACATAACAAAAATGGTTAGGAACTTGCATGAACCCTTAAAAGGAGACAGAATTTCCCAATATCGGAATCCCCAATTGGCAAAAGCTTAAAATGGCAGTCGTTGCCCGTAAAACAACACAAAGGTAAGTGAAATTCGTAAAACAAGATAAAGAATCAATTTCTGATACATCGAATGAAAACCAGATACGTTCACGATAGTTAAATACCCTACAATTGAAAATAAACCCTACAAAATATATGTTGTCAAGGTGTATAAATGAATCGAACTTACCAAGATTTACCAAGCTACTTACGATAGTAGAAGGTTTCATCTCACAAACAATAATGTTAAACAATGGCAATTGAATTCCTAATAGAAAAACTCATATGAAGACACATGTGATCATCAAGAAAACAACATTAGACATTATTCCTTATGAAGATGACAGACCCACTAAGTTCAAGATGCACAATAATACATTAACTTACTCTACTAATGACAATTAATGCTTATATACAAGTATTTACTTCATGAATTTTTCTTTATCATTAGTCTTTTAATGAACACAACATTGAGTATGACTCTATCTTTTTTCAAATAAATTGATTGTGAATAACTCACCTTATGATTTGAGGTCCACCTTATTAAGAGAAGTGACCCAAGATTTATTTAAGTTGGTCAATATTTCGGTATTTAACTGATATGAGATTTATTCCCTTAACATATCCCCACAAGATGGTTGTTCTTTTTGAGCAGACCAATTTTGAAATCCGTGTGCTCATTTTTTAGAATTAATCGGATCGAATAGCTCGTTGGAGCTTATTGGACTCTGATACTATGTCAAGATTTGGGGTCCATCTTAATAAGGTCAACTTTATTAAGAGGAGTGACCCAAAATCTATTTAAGTTGGTCAATATTTCGATATTTAACCGATGTGTGATTTATTCCCTTAACACATTGTCCCATTTGAAAGAGCCATGCTTGGGTACCAGGTACAGAACCCCTACAGAACACACACAAACATGGGTGGGGTGAGGATTTTTGGGATCATTTTTTAATGAGGTGGGACCCATCTCATGTGAGGGATCTGGAAAACTTCTATTGAAATGGTTGTGTACATCCATCAAAACTCCATTTGAAATATCAAAAGTTGCATCATTCAACTTAAACATTTTAAAAAAAATCAGTCAGACCTTTTGAAATAAGAATGCTTCCTCTCGAAAGAAGAAAAATTAAATAAAGTATACAATAATAGTAGTAAAACAGTATTAGAAGCTCAGAGTGAGTTTTCATCCCACTAAATTTACATCATTCAATTAATATCAAATTCTCCATTTAATTTGAAGGAAGATTTCATCAATGCATTACCATATTGATTTGGATCTTGCAAGCAACCAACGCTGTTTGTGAAAGTTTAGGATATATTTGCTTCATGTAAAACAACAAACTCACATCCCTTTTCGACAAGAGATGATTCTCGTGAATTTGTTAAATATCAAACATCGGATCCTTAACCTTGTCCATAGATAATTTCAAGTGAGCTAAGCATGTTTTATGTCTTCACATCTGCAGTTAAGCTTCCACATTCTCTACAAGCTGTTGGGTTATTTCCTCTAATGAGGAGGAAAGCTCATATTTGAAATCTTATATTATAGTCCAAAGTCTATTAGGTTTTAACGTTAATGATGAATATAAATAAAAGAAAATTGGAGAAAATAGAAGTCCAACCCATTTTTGAAAAGAGAGAAAAAGGGTTTTTCCCTCCGCCCAAATTTCATCAAAGCTCCTATCTCGAGTCATCCATGCTTGAGCAAAAATTTGGGGAAGAGATTCACAAAACATAGAGCTACAATCTGAATGGTGGAGATCGAATTTTGAGTTCGGGAATATTGGCTAATGTGCGTGAATAGTAACCAGATTTTTTAGGTATATTTTTTCTAATTTTATATTGTTTGTCGAGATTGTTGTTATCTTGAAGAAATATAAGTTATAATTGTGACTAGAGAAAACTTGGTGTACCCTTTATTTGATTGATAGTGGAGGTTTCGACTAAACTGGATCCTGTGATTTTTATTTCTCATGTCGAGGAAGTTTTTCCACGTAAAATAATTGTTTGTGTTATTATGGTTTGGTGTGATCAATTTTTTTTAGAGTATTGGGGTTTTACTTATTTGCTTTTGAAAGAAGAATTATTTCACTGTTTATCTATTGTTTGCATCTCTCCCGACACAAGCTTGAGTGCTTCGTGTTCGGAGGATATATTGAGGGAGTCAAGGGGATGATCAGAAGAAAAGTTTTCTACAGTTTACATATAAAGTAAATTGGATCGCCTACACTTGCTTTTCCACTTTGAAGTCACCAAATAAAAGTGATTTTGGAAAGTGATGAAATGGCGAATTCTCTCCTACATTAGATCATACTTGAATTTCCATTTATAGTAGGTGATTCAATTCTTTCTTCCACGTTGACTTTTCTCTGGATGCAGAGGTTCCAATTTCGAACGCTGGTCAAACACGAAAGCTACATGACAAAAGTTATTGAGATTTGTTTTCTTTTTTAATAGTATGAAGGACTTTTTAAAATGTTAGTTGGGCTATAATATTTCAATTAGTACCATAATGATTTGCTATGGCATTCGAAAAAGTCACTAAGGTTTGTTATAGGGCAATCAAAATAGTTAATGCAGTACTCAAACTCTATTGATTTTCGTTGTGTTTCGGGAAACAGACCCTCAAACTAAATCTCAAGCATGTAGGTTGAGGAAGCGAATTTGTTTTAAGGAAACTGTGTTTATACAGGCATTGGTTGAAAGTTCATTCGCTCGTTTATTACTTTCTGCAATTTTAAGTTATTTGTTCTGCTCTTACTATTACTGATAAATTTATATAATCTCCAATATTATGGGTAACATAAAGAAATATTTAGAGTTGACAATTATTCATGCAGCATACCAGGTCGTATTAGATGCAACTATTGTTTTATCTTCCATTCGCTAATAGTATGTGTTCCATACAATATCTTGTTCTCGTGGACCATAGTTGAACTATATAATTTGCAGTATTGTGGGTAACGATCATGAACAAGCCTAAAGTTTAGTGATTATTGAAACATTTTACTCGGCATATGCTAGGACTTAATTTTTGTTTACTGCAAAGTGGATTCAATGTTTGTACTCTAAGGTAATTTCAATTTTGATCGATAAATGTATTGTTGAAGGCAGTTTTTCTCCAATAGTTTTTCAATGGAGATCAGAAATGCAGTTCTATCCCAGTTTCTTTCACTGCCTTTTGTTTGTAGGACACCGTGCAAAGTCAAATATACCTTGGTCCTAAGTTTCTTGCAGACAAGAATTGAAATCATCGGATCTTAATTACATGTATATTCCTAGTCCTAAATTGCTTGCAGACAAGAATTGAAATCATCGGATCTTAATTACATGTATATTCCTAGTCCTAAATTGCTTGCAGAAAAGAATTGAAAATCAAGTATTAATTACACGTATTTAAGAAAAGCATATTTTCAGAAATAGAGGAATGCATCTCTAATTGCTACTATTATAGAAATCACTAGTGAACATGGAAGAAGAAGAAGGAGTGTCTTCATTAGCTTTCCATTTCTGCAACGCTTGAGGGAGGCTCATGTTAAAATCAACGCCAAAACTTTCCTCCTCTTCCAGGGTCGGTTTCCAGTGGTCAACCAATGGAGACAAGGCATTCACGACGTGGCTCATGTCCGGCCTCTGTTGTGCTTCCCGGGCTGTGCAGTATCCGGCCAGTTCTGCTACTTTCCAAATACTTGAGAAGGTTTCTTCGTCTGTCTGTAGGGTCGGGTCGAGGGAGGCTCTTACACTGTCTTTGTATTGGATTAGCCTTCGGAACCAGGGGACTAGATGGGTTTGGTCATCAGGTAATGAGTCCTCTAAAGCTTTACGTCCGGTGATTATTTCCATCAAAACCACCGCAAAGGCAAAGACATCAACTTTTGTTGTCACTCTTCCTGTGGCTGTTTGGAATTGGAGATTATGGTTTTGTTAGTTAATTGTAAGTCTGGAACCAGCTTAAACTTTCTTAAAAATGATTGTAGGAGGAGTATTGAAAAATGAAGAGTATATTGATGCCTGAAAGCCAGATTCTAATATATGATATTCAATAACATAAACTGATACATACCAGCATATTCTGGTGCAAGATATCCAAAGGTTCCTGCTAACCGAGTCTCAACTGAGTACTTTCCATCCGGAGCGCTCCTCACCAAACCGAAATCAGAAACCTTAGCCCTCATGTCGTCTCCCAGAAGAATGTTCGTAGGTTTCAAATCTCGATGAATGAAACTCTGCTGCGCTAAGCTGTGTAGATATTCGACTCCTCTGGCAACATCTAGTGCTATTGTCACTCTTTGGTTCCAAGTGAGAGGCATAAGCCCCGACTCGTCCCAGTGGAACAAATGCTGCCCTAATGACCCTTGTGGCATGTACTCGTAGACCAAAAGTCTTTCATTCCCGTTGTCACAAAATCCATGAAGCGCAACAAGATTTCTGTGTCTTACCTTTGTAAGCACTTCGATTTCAGCCTTGAATTCGTTCATCCCCTTATTGCTTAAAATATTTGATTCCATCCTTTTAACTGCTATTCGTGTCCCATCATGGAGTTGTCCTCGATAAACAACCCCAAATCCGCCCCTACCCAAAATGTTGTTTTCACTGAAGCTATTTGTAACTTCTCGAAGAACTTCGATTGGGATCATAATATTCCCACCATCATACACATGATAATCGATCTTTTCACTGCTACTTCGAATGGGAGTCTCGCTTGTACTTGTGCTTTTTACATTTTTCCTAGCCTCATTCTCCTTTTCGCTATTTCCAAGTTCACTTCCATTAACCCATTTGTACTTTGCACTGCGCTTTTTGGCATAGCACAAGGCAAGAACCACTAAAATGGCAGCAACAACAGAGACGACAATCACCCATGCTGAGAGAGAAGAATTAGTCCCATTTTTCGCACGAGACTGATTATTTGCTCCTTTAGATGTACTTCCAGGAGGGGAATTAGGGGGCAAATCTATACCAATGTACGTATTTCCAGTTGTTTTCAGTGTAACACCTGAAGAAAATTTTGGGATTTTGCCAGAAAGATTGTTGTTGGAGACATCAAGAAGCTGGAGCTGCTTCAAACTGGTCAAGCTATCTGGTATGGTACTGGTAAGGTTGTTGTCGTTCAAAAGGATAGTTTTGATTTCAGTGAGATTGGAAATGGCAGGTGATATGGTCCCAAACCAATTCTGCTTCGCAAAATTGATAACAGTTACACTCCCCTTCACATCACAGGAAATATGTATCCAATTCTGACAAGGATTATTCCCTTTCCAAGATTGAGCCAATACCATTGGATAATCCAATGCCCCAGCAACCTCAAGCAAAGTAGTCACCTGTGGATCACATGGGCCGGGACTAGGATTACAGAAATTGTTAGAAGTTCCAAGATTCACCTGGACACCATTTGAAAAACCAGGTTGTGGACCCTGAAATACGTTGTTCTGCAACATGGCAGTTTTGAGCTTGGGAAGCTTTGTAAAAGATTCAGGAATCACACCGGTGAGAAAATTATCCCGAAGCTGAATATCATACAATTCTCTACACGAAGAAAGGTCTGGAATTGGACCTGAAAACTTGTTGACATGAAGCCAAACCTCTGTCAACTGTGACATCGTCCGGAGGACATCTATTGTACCTGAAAGTCCCATCATCTGATTGTTGAGCAATAGATTCTGAATCCCGGAATTGGAAAACGAAAGAGGCAAAGATCCTGTCAGGTTATTATATGAAAGCCTCAGGTTCTGTAAACTTGGGAAGGATCCAAAAATATCCGGAATTTGGCCTACAAGATTAGCCTTCCCTGCATTAAAACTAACAAGGGATGTTGAATCCTTAAGGGTTTCAGGGATTATCCAGGGAGGGAGATTTGAGTTATTATTAATGCTGAATGTTTGTAAACTTGTTAATCCTGACAGAAAATCACGAGGGACAGAACTGAAATTATTGCCATCAAGATTGACGTCTTGGAGGGAAGCGAGGTTGGACAAAGACGGCAAGGGGCCCGAAAGGAAGTTGTTTTGGAGATGAAGGGATTTGAGATTAGAAAGCTGGTTCAAATTTGATGGAATTTGTCCTGTGAGAGACATGGAAGGGAGACTAATGGAGCTGATTTTCCCTGAGGAATCACAATCGACGCCTTGCCATTTGCAGGGCTTGGGGCCGACCCAACCAGAAGGATGAGAGGAGAGAGATTTAGCCAGCGCGGCCATAATGGTGGCGTCGTCGGCGGAGACATAGTGGAGGAAAGCCGTGATTGTGATTATAGAAATGAGGGTGTCATAAAGGATTATGGTGGATTTGTATCTGTTTCCGTTCATTGGGTGGTGATTTTTTTCCGGCGGTGGCGGGGATGGTAGTGGTGGTTGGTTCTCTCTCTGTGACTCTCTCTAGGACGTGAGAGAGACAAGAAAACTTTGCATGGTGGCAGAGGGGTTGTGTTGAATTCTTTAATTGATGTAATTCCTCATTTTCCTTCGTACATATTTTTTCCACCTCATCTATTATTGTATCCAAACACAGTCTTAAAATAGAAACGACGCCGTTTACGGGTTATTCATTGAAGCATTGTCGCTCCTTCCACGTGGCAAACTATGATTAGGAGTTTTAGCATTTTATTACGTTGGGCCTCTAATTCTGGACAGTCCATATAGTTTAATAGATAGAAAGATAATCAAATAGAGAAATAGAAAGAAAATTAAAATTTCTCATAATGAAACTCGTCCTTCTCCTTTTGGTATTTATTACACTAGGTATTAAATTGAATTAAATTTCAATTTAGCTTTGTAATTTTGTTAACTACTGCTGTTTTTATTTTTATTTTTTACATTTTTCTACTAATTTCTTTATAGATCCGAGTAATTTATAAATATTGTTGTTTAAGCCGAATCAGCTAATTGCTGCATGTTTAATATGAAATTCTAATGTGCTTTTTCAATTTTCGTTTTGTTTAGTTGCGGCAAAGAAATCCGGGGATGTAACGGAGCTGCAGATCGGTGTGAAGGTAAATTATACGAGTTTTGTCTTGTCGAAGTATGATCTTCTAAGTTTTTTGGTCTATATTGCGGTACATGAAAATGATGAGGTGATTTGACGAGTCCTAATTCCTCTAATTCTTTAGTGTGGTGGAACTGTTGGCTTATCTTTTATAAAATGAATTTACTGGAAGCAATTGATTTTCAGTTTTTCACCTATTTGAATTCAAAATTTCCATTTATAGTTATATATAGATGTACCATGGGCTTTGGTTCAATGCTTTTCAGGATCAAGACAATGATGTTTTGATTGGTTTCTTGTGTAACATTTGACTATTTAGCTCTCTTTATGAAAATTTTCAACTTTGTAATCATTTACACCATCAGTTTACCATACCTCTAATGTTTAAAAAGGCGTTATTGGATTCTGGGGCATTTTACTTCATGAGGCGAGGTATAAGTCTCAAGGTGTTTTGAGCATAAGCCTCACCACAAATAAAAAAATGACAAAAAATTATTAAAATGCAAAATAAACTCATAATACATCATAAATAAAACGTGAATGTGGACAGCTAGGAAAAATGATTGTGCATCTATGTCAAAAACAAGAATAATGTGTAATACAACACAACTCTAGCAAGAATTAGCTGTATTATTGACATGATTAAAAGGTAAAACACTCAAGAACTTGATTTAATGTGAATAGCATTGCTAAGAGCCTAGCCTTAATACCTAGCCAAAGCAGTCTTCACATGGACAATTATAATCAAGTGAATATCCATACTGGCTCGCATAGTTGTTTTGGAGGTTAGAACTCAGTGAGGGATAAGCTTCGATAACCTGTAAGATTCGATCGCAGACCAATGTCTTATTAAATGTTGTACCACTTGAACATACGATCTCTTATTGCTTTAACATATTCTTGTTTTTACTGTTTCCCATGTGCTTTCCTCTACATCATTTTGGTATTATCTTTCACTATGACTCTTGAAAAGATCAGTGGTTCAATATTTGTTGAGATTTGTTCTTTGTCCTTTTGTTTTCTTTTTATTTTTTTGCTCATCACTTGTAAATAACAATCTTGTTTTGATGCTGCAGTATAAGCCTGCAACTTGTGAGGTTCAGGCCCACAAGGCCGACAAAGTGAAAGTACACTATAGGGTGAGTAGAATTAAGTTTCTTTTGTAGTGCTTCTTTACCGAAATCACAATAGAAATCAATATAATCTTTTTCTCTTATCTATTCTTCATTGCTTTATCTTAGAGGAAGTTAGTGTTTTTTTGGGAATGTGCTTAAGTATATCTTAAAATAGCGAGTGATTGAATACTCATGCCATTATTAAGAAGGAAAAATAGGAGTGGTTCCTTACTCCTAATGCTGCAAGAGTGTAACTTTGTTTTGTCATAAAAGTTCTTGAGAAGTTGGGTGATGCGAACTGCCTATGATGATAAATTAGTGCTGATATGTTGTCAGATTTGGAACACTTAATCTAACAGTTAATGCTAGTGCATGTATTTGGCCAAGAAAAGTTCAAAATTAATTTTGTAGCAGCTGATTGCGGAAATTGTACCAAGTAGCCATATAACAGAGAGAGTGTTTGTGTTTTCCTCTTCTGATGTGGATAAATAGATAATCATCTCTAGATGGTACTTTCAAAATATATTAGAATTTTTTATTTTTATTTTTAATAACATATCTGGGCATTTGAACTGCCTATAATTCACTCGATAGGATTTGGATATTATATCACTGAAAAGTTTTCAACTATGATTGCAATCTGCAGGGAAAGCTTACGGATGGAACTGTTTTTGATTCGAGCTTTGAAAGGGGTGATCCTATTGAATTTGAGCTTGGTAGTGGTCAAGTGATTAAAGGTTATTACCTATTATCATATTGTGTCATTCTTACTGTTGTAGTTATTCATCCTTTTATGCCATCCAGCATGTAAATAAAACTTGAAGAAAGCTCAATTCGTAGGTCTTTTTCTTGGGACTTGATGTCCTATGTATGGAAGCACATCTTGCAACAAATTGGTAGCCTTATAAAAGCACATCATCTGAACAAGTGGATGTTGTCGAACGTCTCATCTAAAAGCTTAAGCTATTAGAGGAGGCCCTTGTCTATTCATTTAAAATCTTGTCTCTAGCACACCTCGTCACCATTTGATTAAAAAATGATCTGACACATGCATAATTTCATAAATGACTAACTGAGGACGAATTGTTTGGCTCTGATACCGTCTTAACCGTCTCATATAAGAGTTTAAGCTATTATAAGAGAGCCGTCATGTATTCATTCAAATCTAGTCAAATTCCTAGTCAAGTTTGTCACTGGAATTGCGTTTGGCTAATATGGGCCAAACAGCACATATTTGAGCACTTGGTACTGTCTTTGGATAGTGCCGTTCCAGCCCAATTTGAAGTTGGCACATCTGGACCTGGCTGCTATTAATCAAGCCAGCACGCCCCAGAGCCCAAGTGGTGACCACAAAGTTGCCTCTTAATTATTTCGATATTTTGATAAGTAACAGTTTGAATAACTTAAACAGGAGGTCCACTGAAGTTTCTTTTATTAAATCAAATTGCTATATTGCAGGATGGGACCAAGGGCTGCTAGGAATTTGCTTAGGAGAGAAGAGGAAGTTGAAAATTCCTTCTAAACTTGGTTATGGGGATCAGGGGTCGCCTCCTACCATCCCAGGTAATCAGCTCAAATTTCTCTTTACACTCTTCTTGCTATGCATATAGGGTAGACTATAAGGAGCTATATTATGCTCTCAATTTTGTTAGTTTAGTTGCTTATTTATTCTTTTGCTATAATGCAAGCCGCTTTCCTGCTTTTGAGTTTGCTACCTGTAAGTGAGATGGCGATTATCAAATGAGAAGAAACACTGATACTGAATACCAGATGACATGCTATCATTTTACTTTTTCTAAATTTGTTAAGCCCAAATTTTACTGTTTAGAATGTTAAAAAATTCGGTCAACTTCTTTTGTTTCTCTTATATGATCTGAACCTGAGGTTTTTTATTTGGCCTAATATTTATTTTCTTAACTATTCCAGGGGGTGCTACACTTATCTTTGACACGGAGCTGGTAGGAGTCAATGGGAAAACAACCGGTGGGAAATCAAATGACAGTGAACTGTAACTTAAAAGAGTCCTTTCTGTAGTTCCTCGTAGCCTTCTTGAGAGTTCTCGGGTTTTAATTTACCTAGTAACACTAGACGGGATATTTTGTTTGCGTTATTTTGTTTATTTAAGTAGTTCCTGTGTCTCATTTTGAAAATCTTCATAAAGTGGTCTACGGACTAAGTTGGTTCGTTTGTCCTCCTGAGGAATGCTATTAACGTTGTTTTGGAACAAAAAGGTCACCTAACTCTTTAATAATTATTGCCATGAAGGTATCGCTCAGACATGGAATAACATTACGGTAAGTTGACTATTACTTTAACTTTATGCTCTTGATTGGCTCACATATTAATTTGAGTCGAAATCAAACAATCAATATTAACCATACCTTTTATGAGTTTCACGACTTTTTAATCATATATTTCAAAAATTTCTATCAAAATTTACTAGAAGTCTGATTTTAAACCTCACCAAACAAATCAAAATCTGCAAAAAAATATAATTCGAAACTATAATTGATAGTTTCCAATTGGTTGGATTTTTGGAAAGTTAAAAGCTGGATTAAGGCCCCGTTTGTTTTCTATTAATGTAAAAATGAAAATGAAAAATATAGTCATTATGGGCCCTACACCAGATAAAAATTCAAATATGAGGAAATTAGGCCATATACCCCCTTTTTAAAAAGTTTTGATCAATACCTTTAAAATTATTTAAATATTTTAAAGAAGTATTATTTACGTCCTAAATTGATAAAATCAAAATCAAAACTGAACTCAATTCTACAATAAGCCCTAATCCCCTAAACGCCTGATGCCCTAATCGTAAACTCCTAAATCACTCCAATTTTGACCCACTTTCCATCAATTTCTTCTTTGTTTTTCCTTTGTAACCGTTCAATTCCGTTTGTTTTCCCTTCGTAACTATATAAATCTCATATTTCTGCAATGTCTGAGAAAAGTGGATCGAAGAGGAGGCAAAGAAATGTCGAAGAACCATCCTCAAAGAAGAGGACCAAAATTTCTTCATCTTCTTATAAATCGAAGGTGACAACATTTTTTTTTTAATGTTTTATTGACTTATATTGTAACATTGTCTTGTTTTTTACGATTTTTGTGTGTTTCTCAATGATTGTTGAACATTTTGTGCATTGATTGTAGATTGTGTAGTTTTTTCAATGATTTTAGTACAAATTGTTGCTACTATGGGTTTTGGTTTTGGTTTTGGTTTTGGTGATACATTTCTCATTTTATTCTTCTTCATAGCACTTGTCTTTTTGTTGTGTTATGTGATTCTCCATTTAAGCTAAAAACATTAATTCCTGCTTCTATATTCTTGTGATTCCCCTAGTGAGTTTACTATGTTGTTCTGCCTATGGTATTTAATAGTGACAGAGCCAGCATTCATGTCCAATGAACATTTTGAATCTACAATGTGTATATAGAAGCTGCCATCACTATAGGCTGCAAGGCAAATTGCCTGTCAGAGTTTAAGTTTCCCATTGTATGCAATAGCTTGAAGCATGACTAAAACTCTGTCAATTTATCATTACACACTTGAAAACCATACTGTGGGATGCCAAAAATTATCGCCATTTTCGAATATTTTTAGAAAAGTGAGTTTGAACATCAAAGCATCTTTAGAAAAGTCTCCAAGGCATGGAACAATCACAATCAGTTGGCTAGTGCTTATACAAGTCAAAAACACGTTGATTGTTAACATGGACTGCTGGCTTGAACTTTTGAGTAACTAGTCTTTGAAAGCCTGTTACTTGATCTACCTTCAGTCCAGGCTGCTGTTGTAAACTAGATCTTATGAGACTTGTAGAAATACTAACTATATTTTTTCGCGAATGTTCCTCGTTTCTGGTTGATGGGAAGTGGAGAATAGAATGCATTTTTCATCTGATGAAAAAAAATTATTTCGTTTTTCCTGTATAATGGCACTTTCTGTCTTTCTTGTATAACTATAGTTTGGTTTTCATAGTTTCTAGTTTGTCTTACATGGTGACTTGAGAATGCACACTAAAAATGTGCGAATGTGTTTGTATGCATGGTGGTTGTGCCTTTGCTTATATGATTTTCCAATGAACAAATTTGCTCATCTATTGCACTTGAGTTAAGATTGAAGTATTGATATTCTAATGATAAGCCTTTGGCTTTCCCTTTAAATTCTTGATTAAGGTTTTGATCTTTTGAATGATTGATGTATGTACAAATGTACAAGTAACTTTAATTGAGTTTTTTGGCCTTCACTCAAATCTATTTGTACCCGAATTTGTCAATCACACTTCAAATTTATTATATGATTTGTGATTGAAGAGTGAATATCATCGGAGTGCATTAAATTCTTTTTAGGGAGAGTCCAGCTTATAGTCCATTGATAGTGCACTATATATCACTTTTTTTTTTTTTTTTATAGTTTTTGTCACTTTTTTGACTCAGTCACTTTTTTAACTTTGTCACTTATTTTATTTTATGTCACTTTTCCAAGTGTATACACTCTTTTAGTTACAAACATGTTTTCAATCATCAAAGTGCATTAAATTCTTTTTTGTCCAGTTTATAGTCCATTGGCAGTGCACTATATATCACTTTTTTTAAATTTTTGTCACTTTTTTGACTTCGTGTTACTTTTTTTAATTTTATGTCACTTTTGTAAGTGTATTCACTCTTTTAGTTATAAACATGTTTTCAATCATATGAGTGCATTAAATTCCTTTTTTCCCATTGACAGTGCATTATATGTCACTTTTTTTTAGTTTTTGTCATTTTTTTGACTCTGTGTCACTTTTTTAAGTGTATGCACTCTTCTAGTTACAAACATATTTTCAATCATTATAACATGTTAGAAATGTGTATATTATAGTCTTTCATAATGCATGTACTTCTTCTTGAATTTTATTTTAACTATTTCTTTTTGTAGGATTAAGATTTATTAATCTCTTAATGCTGTTGTTTTAAGGGAAAAGTGACATTGTTTTCTCCACACGAGGTGATAATAGATTTTAATGAAAAATTTAGTTCGTATCAAAGGACTTTATTCAAGAATACATGCTTTGGTGCCTTCATTGATTCGAGGGAAATAATCTTGCAACCACAGTTGACACCAGTTGCTGCTCAGACAAGTTAAGCAGCCAAATTCAAATGAAATGTGGTTTCATATCTATGATAAACTAGTGAAATTTTCAATCAAAGAGTTCTGTTTGATATCAAGGTTTAAGTGTACTAGAAAAGGTGATCTAACTCGATATAGAATGAAGAGTCATTTAAAAGAACAATACTTCAAAGATTACGAAAGTGTCACAACAAAAGAGGTTCTAGAAGTGTTTTTTAATTTGCATGCTGACACTGTAGATAAAGATGTTGTGGATATAGGCATAGTTTATTTGATTACATCCTTCATTTTTGGTACATCCTATCATAAGGGAGTTCATGACTCTTTTTTTGCCTTGTGGAGTCTGAGGATTTGAATTATTTTCCATGGTGTATAGAAATTTTTAATATGACTCTACCATCCCCAAAGAGTGCATTTAATCAGAAAATGAAGAATATTTTTATTGAAAATAAGTTTTTGGAGTATAGATTGATGGTTTCTTAGTTTCTTTTCAAATATGGATTTATGAAACAATTCCTGCTATTGTTCGAAAAAATTACTGCATTAAGCATGAATCTCAGCGTCCTCGGATATTGAGTCGGAGTTGTAATCAACATGTGACATCTGTGGGGTTAAGGAATAGCATTTTTGATTTGATTAAAGTAAGTTTTTTATCCTTTTATTGTTTATATTATGTCTTTAGTTTATCTTTTGTTGTTATTAATATGATTATGTATTTTTCAGTTGGAAGTGAATCAAATTGTGCCTCTTGAGACCGAGAAGGGAGAAGAGTATGTGGTTGGTTTATTTATTGAAGGTTTGGGTGGTGACCAAGATGATGATAATTTTGAGCATCCTATTGTTTGCCTGAAAAAGTTAATAGATTAAGGGAAAAAAAATCAGTTGACTGAGTTGGAAGGTCTACAGAAAAGAAAAACAAAGGGAAGACTGATGAGGTTTGTGGGTATTTTTTCTTTTTATTAATTTATGTTCACCATGCTTGAAGTTTTTTCGAAGATTTTTATTATATTGTATTCTTTTCAGCAAGTCCAGCAATCAAATGAAAACTTTTGAAACGGCTATCGGAGGTTGAACTGAAATTTGTTCAATCAAATGATTTGATTTTAAAATGAATCTCAGATCTTGAAGTTAGAATCCAATCAAGTCCAATTGAGAACCGGCTAAAAGATGTTGAAGAAAGGGTTAAAACAAATGAAGAAGTGATGGAACGTCTACAAATTTTGGAACGCAAGGTAAAGAAGATGTTAGCTGGTAATGAAGGACAAATGAAGGTATTCAAGAGTTATTGAGTTTAGAATTGATACTTGCGACTTTTTGCTGAATTTTGTTACTTTTTAAAGTTATTGTCATTTTTTGATGATCTTTGTGACTTTTTTGTAGGATGGCGTGGAGAGTTTACCTGATGAAACGGATCAGGTATTAGCTAGTAATGAAGAAGAAATGAAGATATTCAACAGTTATTGAGTTTAGAATTTATACTTGTGACTTTTTGCTGAATTTTGTTTTTCAAGTTATTAACACTTTTTGATTATCTTCGTGACTTTTTTTGTGGGATGGTGTGGAGAGATTATCTGATGAAACAAATCAAATGTTAGCTGGTAATGAAGAACAAACGAAGGTAATCAAGAGTTATTGAGTTTAGAATTCATACTTGCGACTTTTTATTGAATTTTGTTACTTTTTTAACTTATTGTCACTTATTTATTATCTTTGTGACTTTTTTTGTACGATGGAGTGGAAAGTTTACTTGATGAAATAGACCAAGTGTATAATTACTTCCCTAGTTTTTCTTTAGGCATTGAGTTTGAATTGAGTTGTGGGGGAAAAGATGTAGAGGTGTCTGTCAGAAAAAAGTGACAACTCAGTTGAAAAAAGTGACAAGGCAGTGGAAAAAAGTCTCAGTGTAGTGGTAAAAAGTGATAAGGCGATCGAGATGAATTTCAATGAAGAAATAGAATTTCATGAAGATGAGTTAAATGTTGATGACATTGTCGCTCATAATTTAGCAAAAAATAAAGAAGTACTTGTATTTTCATTCTATCATCTTTTTCGTCATAACTTATGTATATTTTTACGTTAATATATTTTGAATTTGTGTTATTGTTCATGTCCCAGGATGTTACATCACCATCTAATAAAGACAGAATTGAATTGTTGGAGGAGGTTGAATTGAAAGATGATGTTTGGGAGATAGTTGTGGAAGTCACGGCTACAATTGAAGCTGAAACTGAAATTGAAGAGGGAAATGTTGAAACCATTGATATTGATGATGTGACCCAGACATGCATTTGAAAAGACAAAAGAAACCTCTTCTTCAGTCCTCCTTGGGTCAATGAATTTGATTCTACATTGGGGACTAAGAAACATGTTGTTAAAGATAATTTTGCATTCCCGGTTGGTGTTGGCCCTCTGATGGCACATGATGTTGATACTTTTGAGCTTTGGTATAACAAAGGATTGGTAAAGAAAAATCAGTAAGTTGTTACTAATATATGTTGTTTGTGAAATTTTTCCAGTATAGTAACTTTCATGTGACTTTTTCCATTTTGTTATGTAGGAAAAAAATATTTCAATGATGAAAATTTCTTTATCAATCATACTTTTATTTTAGTGACATTGCAATCTCTAAAAAACAATGTTGGTATGAGTTGTTTACTCCAAATGAATGTTTGGAAATGTTGGTGTTTTTAAGATTATTTTGTTTGATTTTATTATTATTGTTGATTTTGTCATTTTTCTCTTTTTTGTAGCATATTGATGTGTGTTTCTATTCTTTAAGAAAGTTTTTAAGATATGGAGAAGGGATAAACATAAAGGCTATAACCATAGATTTTCCGTTTGATAGCCAAATGAGAGGTCTTTATGCCGACTTTTACCAAGATAAGTCAGCTATAAAAAATCAGACTTCTCTTCTTTCATATGTTATTGGGTTGTCTATGTTGTGCAACACAAATTGGAGCCTTGTTGATCATGTCCTTATTCCAATTAGAATGTCCAATTCAGCTCATTGGATTTTGTGTCATTTCGACATTTAACATGTGTGTCTTAATGTATATAATTTGTACAAAAAGATTGTGAGGAAGACATTAGTACTTGAGGCTATTAAACCATTTTCTGATATCATTCCTAATCTTCTCTTTCATACTGGCTTCTTTGAGGGAAAGGACGTTTCGGAAGAAGAAGGTTTGAACCCATTAGTTGTAAAAATGGTTTCAAAACTTCCACAACAAAATAATGGGTAAGTTTATTTCTAAAGATGTTTTTTTTCATCTAACATTTTAGTATTTAATTATCTAAAGTACTTTTCATTATTTCATGCAGTGGAGATTGTGGAATCTATGTAATTAAGTATGCCCAGTACTTCATCAATGGAATGTTAAATGAGATGTCAAAGTCTTTTAATGTTCCACATCTTAGAAGAAATTTGACAGCTCAATTATATGTTTATGGAAAGAAGAAGCAAGAAGAGGAATATGATACAAATAATGAATGGGGGTCAAAGGAGATGAAATACCTATATCCTGATGTGATAGATAAGTAGGTGATTTTGAGGAAGTGAAGAAACTTGTCTTGTTTTTGTAATGACATGTCTTGATTTGTAATGACTGATTTGATTTGGTTGGTAGTTGATGTTTTGTATATAATGACTGTTTTAGGGAAAAGTGGCAATGTTAATGGTGGTAGACAACTTCAATTGTTAATGACTGATTTGGTATAACATGTTTTTTCTTTTACAACATCAATGGAGCAGGGATATTGGTGATGTAGCTTCTAACATACTAGCTTGTATATCACTTTTTTTTAACATACTAGTTGTTTGTATGTCACTTGATATAAACATATTCTACTCCTCCAGGGTCAGCTTGTATATGTCCCATTTTCAACAAAAAAGTAACATAATGTCGCTTTTCCAACAAAAAGTGACATAATGCTACATTTTTAACAAAAAAAGTGACTGCATCACTGTTTCTAACAAAATGCATTATTTGTCAATAAGTATACTTCTTAAAAAATATATTTTTGTGAAATTTTGAACACTCTTATAATGTCAATGGAGCAAGAAATAATATTACCTTTTTAACAATATGTTACCTGACTATAGTTTTAAACATAGTAGTTTTTTGTATGTCAAAAAAGTGACATAACGTCACTTTTTCAACAAAAAAGTAACACCACGTCACTTTTTTAGCAAAAAGTGGCATTATTTGTCAATAAGTATGCTTTTTAAATAGATGTTTTTGTAGAATTTTGAACACTCTTACAATGTTAATGGAGCAAGAAATAATGTCACATTTTTAACAGCATGTTACCTGACTATAACTTTAAACACAATAGATTCTTTTATGTCCAAAAGGTGACATAATGTCGCATTTTCAACAAAAAATTGACATAATGTTCCCTTATCAACCAAAAAGTGACATAATGTCACCTTTTAACAAAAAAAAGTGACACTGCGTCACTTTTTCTAACAAAAAGTTACATTATTTGTTAATAAGTATGTTTTTTAACAATGTATTTTTGTGAAATTTTGACACTCTTACAATGTCAATGGAGGAAAGAATAATATCACATTTTTTACAATATATTACCTGACTATAGTTTTAAACACTCTTGTATGTCAAAAAGTGACAAAATGTCATTTTTTCGTTGAAAAAATGATATCGTGCCACTTTTTTTTAACAAAAAGTGACATTATGTCACTTGCCAATTAACCAAATGTGGATCCAATGTCAATGGAGTATGAATACATTGTCACATGCACATATATACAACAAAGAATTTTTTAACAAAATTAATTAATTTCTATTGTCACTTTTTTCTAACAAATTCACATACATAATATATTTCAAAATCGACATTTTGCTTAAAGTATTTTTGCGATTCTTAGAATATTTGAATTTTAAAATAAACAAAACAAAAAATATCAAATAATCTAATTTCATATATCTTCTAACTTCATTTTTTTTTTTGTGGTTTCTTTTTCGCTTTTGGTGGATTTTGACATGATCTACGATTGTGACCATAATTCTCATATCTTCCACATTTTGCACTTTGAATTTTCTCTCATTTTGATGGTATTCTTTTTTTTTTTTAGGTCGTCCGGATTTTCTTTTTGGGTTAGGAGCCAAGATTATTTTCGCTCTTACCTCATCTGGTACATTCCACTCATTATGATCTCCTAGTGGAAAAAATTGATGCACTATATGTTTGAATATACATATTTGTTATATAAAATACCAAACAATATGAATATGAATCCTCCTTTATCTTTGCAACAACCTCAAATGCATGCGCACATGGAATCTTGTCTATTTGGAATTAGTTGCATGTGTATGTTCTTTCTTCCACGTTCACCAAATATGAGGCACAGCCATCGTTAACTTGGTACAATATCGAACTTGAAGTTGATACCTATGTGCATAATACAACAAAATACCCTATCAATAAATTTGTCACTATTTTATATGAAAGGAAGATTTAAAGTGAAAATTTGATATGAATAGAGGACACAAATCATGTTATAATACAAATCTTGATGTACAATAACAAAACAACAAGTTTATAGCTTTTTACCTTCATTTTCTTGGACTCCACAGAATTTTCTTTTAGTTTTTTCTCTTGCTTGATGACAAGTGTTGTGAAGGTTGCTCATCCATCATTTATATACTTCACAAACCATTCTTGTAACAAATATTTTAACGATTCCAATAAAGGCTTTATTTGAGAACCTTTCATTGCTTTTGTTATCGAATTTACCGATTCAACTATGTTTGAAGTCATTGTAGAAAATTTGTTGTTTGTCATGTAAGCCCTCGACCATTTCTCATAACCAATATCTTTCTACATAAAGAATATTCAAAATATTAACAGAAAAATTGACTTTCTATCATATTTTAAACTCACTTTTAACAAGACGTATCGATACATACAAACTTTTTTTTAAAAAATGACATCATGTCACTATTAACAAAAAAGTGACATTCTATCACTCTTTGGTTTAAATTTTTTTGTTTAAACTCGCTTTTAATAAAAAAATATCAACACATACAAAATTTTCAAACGAAAAGTGACATATCATGTCACTATTAACAAAAAAGTGATGTTCTGTCACCCTTTGATCGAGAAGTGACAGAATGTCACTTTTTAAACAAAAAGTGACATCAATTATTATAGAAGTTAACAATGAGAGCATACCAAATGTGATCGAATCTCTGTATTGATTTCATCAAATTGTTTCATATGGAACTCAAAATCAATCTTAGAATATGCTCTACAGCCTATGAAATGTTCTGCAATATTCTTTTCCCTTTTTTCCCACCAAAAGATGACTTCAAGTTCTTTAGTAAGTGAGTGGAACATGAACCGTGTATTGCATTCTCATACACTTTATGAATTGTATTTTTTATGCTTGCATGTCCATCTAAGATTATACACAAACCTTCTCGCTCACCATATGCTTCTTTTAACATCCTTAAACACCACTCCCAAGAATCATTGGTTTCTAAATCACCAACTCCAAATGCTAATATGAAGATATTGTTGTTGGCATCTTGCGTACATGCAGTGAAAAGTGTTCCGCCATAGTTGCCTTTTAAGAATGTAACATCTATTACTATAACTTGTCTACAATACTTCCACTCTTCAATAGACGTTCCTAATGCCATGAAGAGCTACTTGAATTTGTTGTCTTGATGTCTCAATTTTTGTAACTATTCCAAGATTTGTTTGTTCTATCATGTACAAGTATTTTGGAAATTTTTCATATGACTTTGTAGGATGTCCTCTCATTAATTTCAATGCTTTCTCCTTAGATTTCCAAACTTTCTCATAGCTCATCGACACTCCATATGTATTCATTATGTCATTTATATTGTCTGCAGAAGTGTATGTTATTTTTGTTGAGATATACTTGTACATGATGAATTCTCCTACTATTGAGCTGGTTGCTTGACGATGATCTCCCAAAATGATGTTATTTGAGCATATATGATCATTTTTTATATACCTTACCTTGAACATATTGGTTCCACCAAGTTTTGAAACTCTAAAAGTCCATTTACACTTATCATCAATACACTTCAACACATACTCTTTCTTGTCCGACTTATTGACCTTGAATTGAAAGTTATCGTATATTACATATATTGAAATACTTCTCTTAACCAATGCCTTGTTCCTGAAAACTTTATCTTTTGAAATCCCATCCATAGTGACCACTGAAATGATATCACTTCCTCCTTCATTCGTTGTTTCTCCAACTTCTGACATACTATTGTATACATAAATCGCAATTTCTTCCATACTAGGTAATTTTTGAGCTGATGTCACGAAATTATCAGTTACAGCTTCAAAAAACTGCAATTGTAGCATATCATTTTTCGTAATTGATAGCCTCAAAACATTGTTTATTGTTAACAAATTCAGTTTCGTGACTTTTCGATACCGTTGTCACATCTACGCACAATGCAAAGCTTGCAAAATCTTTATCCTTTCTCTTTAGCTCTAAATAAAATGTTAGTGAAATATCATCTAAAATCTCCATTAGAGGCAGATTTTTGTTCACTCTATATTGTATTTTTACTCTCTGAGTTGATGCACTTAGTTTCATCACGAAACATATCATGCACACAAGGTTGTTGTACGTGCAATCCATGGGACAATAATTCCAGTCAATTTGTCACTTGTATACTCATTATCTTGTATCTATTTGCCTCCATAACAAATGAAGACATTGATTTTATCCATACCTAAAAAAATATTACAAAGAGATTGTGTGAGTTTTTTTTTTTTTAAAAAGTGACAGAGTAAAATACATCTAATTATTTGGCCAAAAGTGATGCTGTGACTTTTTATGAGAAAAGTACAGCTTGTCAATTTTTCACATTCTCCTTTATCAAACATCATGCATGCATCAATATACTTAATTTAAAGTTTTCTTTTTTCATATTTATTACCAGAAAACAGGGCTTGAAAATGTATCTTAATAATTTCAAAAATGCACACGAATGCATCTACTTATTTGGTCAAAAGTGATGCTGTGACTTTTTCTGAAAAAAGTGACAGCATGTCAATTTTTCACATTCTCCTTCATCAAACACCATGCATACATCAATATACTTGATTGGAAGTTTTCTTTTTTATATCCATTATCAAAAAATAGGGCTTGAATATGTATCTTAATAATTTCAAAAATGCATACGAATGCATCTAGTTATTTGGCCAAAAGTGATTCTGTGACTTTTTTTGAAAAAAGTGACAGTGTGTCAATTTTTCACATTCTCCTTCATCAAACATCATGCATGTATCAGAAAACAAGGCTTGAATATGTATCATAATAATTCAAAAAATGCACAGAAATGCATCTACGTATTTGACCAAAAGTGATGTTGTGACTTTTTTTGAAAAAAGTGACAGTATGTCAATTTTTCACATTCCCCTTCATCAAACACTATTCATGCATCAATATATTTAATTCAAAATTTTCTTTTTCATATCTATTATTAGAAAACATGCATTGAATATGTATCTTCATAATTTTAAAAATGCATCTAGTTATTTGACCAAAAGTTATGTTGTGACTTTTTTCTGAAAAAGGCGACAGAATGCCCATTTTTCATATTCTCTTTTTGTTAAATACCTTGTA